AGCACTGAGCCTTCTCATTCACCTAGTGCCTCCATCGTGGCTTAAACGCCAAGCCTTCTCAGTCATCTGTTGGCAAAAGTAGACCCTCTGACACAGAGATGGGTGCACGTGTCTGAGGCGTCCCTGAAAAACGTTGCGGCAACCCATTGGGCATTTGTCTGTCTCAGGTCCCCTAACAATGGCCTTGCATGGTCTCGTACGTGGCTTGAGCATGAAGCCTTCTCATTCATGTGCCGATAGGTAGATGCCCCCTTATACAGAGCTGGGTGCACGCTGGGGTTGCCTGCAAATTGTCATCGCATCCCCTGATCTGTAATCAAGGAAGTACGTAAAGCCTGCACCTAGGTATCACTCGCAAACGGCTTCGTGCAGCAACCCGCTGTGTACCAATTTCTCCTTCTCATTCATGTGCCAACAGGTAGATGCCCCCTTATACAGAGATGGGTGCACGTGCTGAGGCTGCCCGCAAATTGTCATCGCATCCTCTGATCGGTAATCAAGGAAGTATGTACGGCCTGGACCTAGGTATCACTCGCAAACGGCTTCGTGCAGCAACCTGCTGTGTACCAATTTCTCTAAGAGTTTCTCTAAGACCTTGAACAGGGAATTCCATGGACGGCTGCGTTCCAATGCCAGACACACATGCATGTCCTAAAGCTTTTAGAGGGTGCTCCGCTAACAGTGATGCCATGCTCACAGCGTTCGTCTTCTCATTCCAGGTGGTCTTCACTTGCAAAGGTGCGCGAGTTAGGAAGGGTTCAACTTGCCATTGAATTGGCCTTGATGGGTCCTAGAAGCATACAATTCTCAAGGTATACTTGTCATTCATTCAAGGGCGGTCTTGCAGCAAAAACAGATTTGACTGTACACAAATGCGTGCACGTGCCTCAGTGACTCAGGCAATGCTCAACTGCCATCGTGTGGACCCTGACAGGTTTTGACAAAAAACCTATATGACAAATCTAATGGTAGCACCTAGGTACGGTACGGCAGCGGCATCACGCGTACCGTCTCAGAGCTTGAACTGGCAGATGTCCAGCCGTCCTCGTGCTGATTACGATGCGCACGTGAATGTCCGAAAGCTTGGTATCAAAGATGGTCACCTCGCAAGGTGCCGGTACTTGCTTCACACAACATCTTCTCGTTCATCTGTCCACACAAGCCCAAATGCCATCTTTTGTCCAGATGGGCGCGTGTGCCTGAGGCGGCGCTGCTCAAGCCGCCAGTACCGTGGTTGTGGCATTAGCATCTCTCAGCAGCTGGCAGCAGACGGCAGTCGGGTCGGCTTGGGTGAAATGAGCTTTGAACCTGGCAGCCTCGTGGCAGTCAGGACGGATGACACGCCGCTAGCAGACAGCTTTTCACACCTTCACCCTCATATACACCGGGGTGCGTCAAGCAGCCGAGCAGAAGCAGGCAGGGCGTGTTGGTGTTGATATCCGGCAGGCCACGAACAACTTCTGCCGCTCCATGGCAGGATTTCTGCCTGCGCCCAGCTACCTGGGGGCCCGGGCCCCGCCCAGTAGGTGCCTGCGCATCAAGCTTCGGCTTCGCCGCGCTGTTGGCGCCCAAAGTCTTGAGATTGAGAACTCTCGCAGAGGACTTCCACATGGTCTGCTTGGGTCCTCTTCAAACCGATGAAGCCGCCCGCACGCCTGCAGCACACCAGCTGCGGTGCAGGTCACACGGTATCATTGCAATTTTGTGGGTAAAGTGCTTGGCGGGCGCAAGTCAGGAAATCCACCCGTACCCTGTCAGGCCCTATGCTGTCCTCAGGGCGCACTGCTTGTGCCGCAGCACAGCGTGTGCTGTCCACGTTGAGAGACGTCCATGGCCAGCGTAGCCGCGGCTGCTTCGCATTTTTCTGATACGGCTGACATGCCGTTTGCCGGGAGCCTGCAGCAGCCCCTGCATTCTCCACATTCAGCCAGTGCAGGCTTGGCAGATCTTGCGCGCTGCACGCTTTGCTTCGGGATCGCGTGCCGTCTGCGGGCTCTTGGAGGAAGGGGCAGTGCAGCGGCAGATTTCTTGTGCAGCAGTAAATCCTGCGAGAAGCACACGGAGACGCCCAAATCCGTCACGCGCAGCCCCGGCAACAGGTGCTTAGGTCCCTGATGCAAAGTTGTTCTCTGGTTGGCCTCTGGGGGTCAAGTCAGGGTACATCGCAGCAGTTGCGCTGAGCCGTGTGCTAAAAAAAGGGGTCGAGTGAGTTGAGAATCTGGGTTGTAGGTCCAGGTGTACTGCGGGATTGCAGGGGAGACACAATACCGCCATCATATTGTCAATTGCCCTGTCCAGCGTTTGGCAGTCAAGCGTGTAATTTGCAGTTGCTCACATGATGTAGAGGGATCTAGTTGTCCAAGTAGCGTGAGTCTACAGGATCTGATCAACTTGGCGGAAGTTGGTTAGGACGGTAGGAAGAACACGCGGATATGAGGTCCTTAGATCTAAATGCCTCAGGTCTCCGCCCCCGGCGGACACCATCCGTTTGTAATCGCCATGTCCTCTTGAGGACGTGCACTTTTTCAAGGCCCTCAAAGCTTTGCACTGTGCGGAGACATCTTGTACAAGGGCTGAAGCAAAGTCCAAACTATGTAAGGAGCCCTGTTTAGGGCCAATGTACACAGGGTTTACTGTTGGGCTTTGTTTTTTGAAGACATATCTTTCTCACCTTTTGAAACTCTGCGTAGATGGGGGCCTAAGTTAGCCCAAGTTCACTGCAGGTGTGGTAGCTTCTTGAGAAAGTCGCCCCGCAACAGAACATTGCTGCATCTATGCAGACAAACGTCTGTGTTGTGGCTGGTGGTCGTGAAGCTGAGCTTACATGCAAGGCTTTCACAGCTTTCTGGCTCAAAGTTGTTGAGCATGTCAGGATACACCAACATCGGCTGCTTAGCGCCCTGCAGCCCCGAGATGCTAAAGCACATGGCGCGGCTGAGGTCAGGGGATTGCAGGTGATTGCAAGCATCTCCTGTTGCAGGCTCAGCTTGAATTTCTACTTGATCCCATTTCGGACCTGCCAGCAATCCAGAACAGAACCTGATCCCATGATTGGGCTCGCATCATGAGCAGCTGGTCCGATGAGCGGCTTGATAGAATTACAGTGGAGTTTCTAGCTACCTGAAGACAGGCGAGTGACTTGCAAACTAATCACCTAGTGGGAGGGGTACTTGCCCCTGCAAGGCCCTGGTGAGGCGACCTGCGCTGATACAAAGAACTTGCTAGCTGTTTGCACAGTTCTGCTAGCGGCCTTAGCCTACCTGCTTCCTTTTTGACAGAGCTACAAGATTCGTTGCGATCACGATCCAAGAAGTCCCATGAACATTCTGCAATTCTTTCCTGGGGTAGGCTTTGAAGCGTTTTCGATGCAGTGTTATGTTACATGAGTTAAGATTTGGGTCCTGCTTGCATCTCACCACGAACCAAGGTCACGTCAGATGTCCCTTCAATTTTGCCGCCGGCCGAAGCCAGGTTGACTTGTTGGCTGGAGGTAGCAGATGCCCAACCCATGCATCGGAGATCTCTGTGCTGTTGCGTCAAGGTCGCCAAACTCGCGTGAGCCATCTGCAACCATCCCCAGCATCTGTCAAGCAGGTTTGCAGTGGAGAGCAGCATCGGCTCGCGGGTGTTAAAGCTGACAGAGTGGCGGGATGCTGGGGATGCAGAACTGAGAAAAGTTGTAGCCTCAGGTCCAGGACTCTGGTGCTGATATCCTGGTCCCTTTGTTTCTCTTTTGGATTTGGTGCTTTGAGGTCTTCTTTGAGGTCTCGCTGTGTGAAGGATCCTTGGATACGGCAGATGCAGCCGCAGGTGTCTGATTTTTTTGCAATGCCCCTTCACATACCCCTTTGTGAAGTGACTGATGACTGAGGCTATCCCCCCCTTATAAAACGAACTAAATGCCATGAGCTGAGGCTACCCACCCCATCTCACTAGCAAAATACCGATGGTACCCCTCCCATAGTATAAATTAAGCATATTCTTTAGATAAAATGCCGGGGCGAGTTACCGTCACTGTGACGCGGAAGGGTGCGGCAGGCGTTACATGCGCACTGCCGTGTCCGATGCCATGCTGGCAGAGAGCCAAACCGCAGCGCCACGGTGCACACATAAGAAGACCTGCAACAATCTTGACCTTCTCCCCCACGCTACAGAATCAGAACTCGTTCATGTTGTTCGGCACATGCAGCCGGAATTGTCCGATGCTTATGCAATCCGCCTTCAGATACCGCTTGTGAAGTGACTGAGGCTATTCCCCCTTATAAAATGAACTCCATGTTGTGAGCTGAGGCTACCCACCCCATCTCAAAAAGGTACCCATGGTACTCCCTCCCATTTTATAAACTAAACATATGTCACCCTAAAGAGGAGGAATTAGCGTCACTGTGAGCACTTCCGTGTCCGCTGCCATGCCGGCACAGAGCCAAAGCGCAGTGCCAAAGTGCAGCTTGCTAGCAGTAATATAGACCCATGATTCATGACCCCCTCCTTTTAAGGACCTAATTAGTAGGGATCCCTCTCACAATTCCTGTTAAGGGGAGGGGGTTTATGAATCAGGGGTCTGGGTTAGTCGGCAAGACGAAGCACCGCAAGGTTGACGAGAGCTTTTGTGCCACATGTGCCATGTGCTGGTGCTGCTAGAAAGTCTGATGCTGAGCCCGATGAGATTTTGTGTGTGTATATAACAAGTCCAAAGGCTTCAGCCCGCAATTAGGAGAGTGGCAGGGTTTTGGCTCGGTGCAACCAGTCGCAGAGTTTGCGGCCTCAGGCCAAGCAGCCTGGCGTGCTGTTGGCCGGGTAGCTGGTACCTGGTTCAATAAGTCAACTTTGTGAGTAAGATGCGGCTGCTCCTTCCTCTCCTCCCCTTTCTGGGGTTATTCTTTCAGGCCGGGGCTTTGCTTCCAGGCTCTAGGCCCTTTGACCGCCTGTAGTTCTTTCTGAGAGAGTGGTTTTCCCCAGGGCTAGCTCCAAGGCGAGCGGGAACTCTGCAGCACTCCCAATCTTCGGAGCCTTAACCCTCTTTGTGAGTCATCAGCTCGCAGGGTTGGTTGAATTTCTTGCGTTCT